CTTAACATGGTGTTGTGTTACTTATTGGGAATGGAAGGGTAACGGGATTTGGTGATCGAAGGAGTCAGCAGTCATGGCAATGCCAACTTTATATTTAGGTGCAGACACACAAGCAGATTCTTATATGTTTATAATTTATGTAATATTGAAAATGATCTAATAAGTGAATTTGAAATACATCACCTCACTATGCAAGTGCAAGTGTAGCATAGAAGGTACATCCATACATGACTAGCAAAATATTTAGGATTGATGCTCCATTACATTTACTTCAACATTCAGCCACAATATATACCCAGTTTTTATTCCCTTTTGAACTGCACCATATGTCTCCTGCTCCACACACTCCAGTTAAAATGCACTTACTATTTCCTGTGCACATTTAATTACTGTGATAGTCTGATAACTACCTGTGGTTCTCATTTTAATTATGTGGATCTGTTTTTTCAAAAGAAGGACATCTTACCCAGTGGCATACTAAGAAAGAGGGGGAGGGGAGAGGGGACTGAGAGGGCGGTCCGCTCTGGGTGCCACTCACGAGGGGGTGCATGGGGCGCATTTTCATGCCGCTTGCAAGAGTCTCCACATCCAGCAGCAGCATGGCTTCTGTTCTTGCGATCTGTGAGAGCCTTGCCGCGCATTGCTATGGAAACCCATGGCTCACGAGAACAGAGGACATTCTGCTGCTGGATGTGGAGACTCCTGGGCCCTTCTTCACTGGGCAACCATACTGTGCCACCGGACCACCAGGGAATGTAGTGTGTCCCCAATCCCTGGGCACAGGTAAGAGTCAGGGAGGGGACACACACACAAACAATACACACTGCTCACTATACACTCATTATACACACACACAGCATATGCACTATACGCACTGCATACACTACATACACACACACTGCATACAAAAAACACACAGAGACATACAGGTATAATTGTATCTGTATGTGTGTATCTGTGTCTTTGTCTATGTGTCTCTGTACATGTGTGTTAGTGTGTATGTTTGTATCTATATGTGTCTTTCTTAATGTGTCAGTGTTTGTCTGTATCTGTGCATGATTGTGTTTCTATGAATCTGCATGTGTATACCTGTGTCTGTGTATCTGTATGTGCCAGTGTGTGCATCTGTGTGTCTATGTATCTGCATGTATGCCATTGTGTGTATATTTGAGTATATGTGCATACATCTCAGCATTTCGCCAACACTACACACAAATACACCCCTGCCTCCAAATATCACTACATAAAAACACACCACCTATTCAAAAAACACACTACACAAAAATTCACGCCTGCATTCAAATGCCAACACTACATGCAAACACACCCCCACATTAACTCACACATACTTCATACAAAAACATGCTTACATTCAAACACACAAACACTGCTCAGTGCTAAATACATACAAAAAAATAAATGTGTGAGTGTTTTTTTACATTTTAAATTTTGGGGGGAAAGGGAGCTGCCAAATATAAGATCCGCCCTGGGTGCCAAATGCCCTAGGTACACCCCTGCTCTTACCTCATTTTAATGCTTGAGTTTTAAAGTGGTGCTGACCACTCTAAAAGTCACGTAGAATACAGGAGGTGATAATTACTGTGGCAATTACATGACACCTAGATGGTTCTTGTACTTTTGGTTGCTGGATTTAGCAGTGGGCATTATACCTGTTACAGTATTCAAATTCTAGACCAAATGCAGTATATAACTTAGGAGTCCTCATCTTTAAAAGTACCTTACATAAATAACAGAGGAGGAGACAAGGGCGCCATTAGAACACCCACACTTCTAATTAACCGTTTTTGCATAAGACCATCAAATTTGTGGCCTGTGTTTTAGAATGGTTTATCTAGCTCTCTGAATCTGCTCCCTGCCTCCTCTCAGCTGCTAAAGATATCCTGTGCCATTTCAGGGACTAAATACACACACATTTAGGGCACTCAACTAGCATCAGTCACTTCATGCAGTTTCCTAGTGATCCTACACAGTTTTGCTTGCATTGATTATTCTGGCTCGCTCTTGACTTTCCCAATCCCCGACATGGCTTGATTTTCAGATACTGTGTGTATTCTCTGGTTATCCTTGCCCTCGACCTACTTCTAAATTTACCCTTTGTCATTTTGCCTTCTTTACGCATAGCTTTAAGCCCACCCATTCTAAGGAGCAGTAATACGCAGCTATCCTTTTCTTGTATTGAATGGTAGTGCTCCTTTAAGTCTGAGTGTTGGGTATATCTGTACTGTGAAAGCAGCAGAACCACTACAGCACGCTGTGGAACTTGGAGTATTCCTTTAACCTTGAGTTCCACTCCTGATTTTTCTCTTTCTTTTTTGGTATGCTGGAACTCCTCTAGATGGAGCAGGACCTACTGGATATTTGTAATTTCATTTAGAATATTAAACACCTACATCCACCAGCAGTCTATTAGGTCACCATGTTCAATAGTATAAAGCTGTTACAGCCACAATGATGGCAAAGCATCAGTGGAGATGTAGTCCACAGTATCTGGAGTAGCGAAGGCTGCTAAACCTGGTTCTATACTGTTCTCTGGCAATTTTATGGCTTCCAAATTGTTTTCTCAAATCATACTAAACATGACCTTTTATATACCAAATCCACCTGGTTTAGTTCTCATGTCCAGACTTTTTTATTTTTATATTTTGTTTTGTATAACTATTGTTCCTAGTACCAGTCAGGCTCCCTTTCAGACTGTCCCTTGTCTCCAGTCTTGTTCCCGCATTGGTTCGCTTTATACTTTTATACTGGTTGTTCTAGAAAATCTTATTATTTCAAATGATTATGCCAAAGTTGGCTATATTGGCTTACAATGTGCAATTTCCTTCTCATTCTCATTCTCCAAAATTCCCAAATTAGCAAGTAACTCTTAACACATTTCTTAGATCACTACGTGTGCTATTTTCACTCTGGATTCCTATTCTCCACTGAAACATGTTTTACCTGTTTATGCGCTTTTAATGCTGCCCTACATATATATATCTCTACTATTCTCATTATTTATTTCCACAAGAAAACTGACACGTCATCTGTCTCTTTCATCCTGGTTCCTACTCTACCATGGGATACCTGATATCGATAAGAATCCAGATTCCTATGTTATATGGGGTCATCAAATAGTAGTAATCCCTATTTTTTTTCTTATGTATTAAGTGAAATAAGGCAGATTTTAAAAACATAAAAAAAAAACAGGTAACATGGAGGGACAAGAATTTAATAAAAAAAATAAATTACCATATAAAGTGCATCTTTAACCTTCTGTGGTCAGTGAAATGTAATTTGAAGAAAATAGTGGTAGTAAACATGCACAACTCAGAGTGTAAGATTGGTCTTTTGCTTCTTAGCAAGAATTATTTTACCATTGCTTTAAAAAATATATATATATATATATTTATAGTGAGATGAGGCCATCTAGTGTTTGGTACTTGGTACAGTTTAATTTTTTTTACTTCATCCATTTCCACCATTACAGCCTGAAAAGAATAACTTAAAGGAAAGCAATCAAGTTTCAGCAATTTACAACAATGGAAAAAAACCATGATCTTTTTCACATTGTGGCATGTGCCCGGCCTTTTCACTGTGTCTTTTGCTTTGTGCTGAATGTATGTTTATTATACTACTATTGTGTAAGTAAAGTATTGATTATATTTTCAGTAGCTCTGGTGTGCATCCTAGGTTTGTCTTTGTATAATTGTTTCTGATACCTAGCAGTGTCTACTTAGTTTTGCACCCTGTTGATAAGATTTAATGATGTACGATGTACCCTCCTATGCTAAATTGTTTTTACAAAATGATTTTCTTTGAAAAAAATACATTAAAGATTGGAGATGTGTGTATAACACACACACACACACACACACACACACACACACTATGTTATTCTACCTTTATACATTAGGGACTTTTTTTTTTACCACCTTCTGCAATGCAACAAAATGATTCACCATTATGCCACTTTATTTCAATTTTACCATTGATTACATTCACTAGAAAAAAAGAAAGCATTATGAATAGTGCCAAAACTTACCTCGATCCAGCAAAAAGACCAAGTTCTGCCTCCAGTACAAACGTTTTATTTATTTATTTTTTTAAATTATGTGTTCCCATTAAGAGGTTAGTAGAAGAACACAACATTCTTAGAATGGAGGAAAACATATGGAGGAAAGTGGATTGCAAAACAAAAATAAAAGTCATGAAAAGCACAATCTGCATTTTAGAATTCATCTCTCTAATATCACAGAGTGCGGGGATCAGGAACTTGGCAGCAGTTATCCGATGTTTTTGAGTAATTTTTGGTTTCTGGAAATGGGAAATTTAAAACTGCAACCCAATCCTGATGACCCAGTGACGAAGAGTTACACTTTTGGCAGCAGGGGAGGGGGGAGAGATACAAGGTTTCATAATGAAATACTGTACATGAAGACTCCAGGCACAATGACCACTTCAAAACAGTGAAATGAAAAAATACCTATTGTGTATTCATTTGGTAACTATAGTGTTAAACATACTATTAAAAATCCTGGCTTGTGGTAGTTCCTCTTCAAAATAGTTACTATTAATTTAGTCCTCTCTGTTCGCATGATCTGCAGCTTTTAGGATATGAGCAATATTTTGTGATGACTGGATTCAGTATGAGTAGTGTAAACCAAAAAAGGATCTGAAGGACTAAAATCCAAATCTATATATTTTTTTATCTTTATATTGTGCTAACTAGACAAAGTATATTTAGATTTCAAGGGAATCTCATATCAAAGACACTACAGTGGACTTTGCACACAAAACGGCACCTGTTTTGTCTTGAAAAATCTCTTCAAAATATAAAAGTCATTAGTTCAGTGACCCTCTCAGAAAGTGCATGCAGCATTAGTCTTTTACCAAAAGAAATGTGCAGAATTTGCATTTAGACGTCAAATTAATAACATTTAAAAATGTACATTTTATAGAAAAAATACACTTAAATACCATCACATTCATGTGGTTAATTTTTTTTTTTATCAATGTGGCTAACATTTAAAAATACCATTACAAATTCATTGTATATTGACTTTGACCAATAGCAAACAATATTTCTGTTTATGCAATGACAGAGAATGCAAGTACTGACCTAATGCTCTGCCCAATGGATCATCAGGGATGAAGCCTCCTAAGGCTTTAAATGGATACAATTGGAGGAGTCTACAGTTTGCATTATTTTTTAAACAAAAATCGGTAATTGTCTACAATAAGGGAGAAATGTGCAAGTCAGAGAAATACTATCATCATCCCTCAGGATAGTGCTAGATAATAACTCCTTACATAAACTCACTTTACAAATAACCTCTAATATTCTTGAAAAGCAAAAATGCAGTTACTTTGGAGCATGTTGTTATACAGGCATACCATTCATTTTTACAGTCCAAAAGCATCCGAGTGCTTTAGGATACAAAGTTCTTGAATATCAATAATCCTAGGAAAGCAGAATGTTGACACACTAGTAAAGCAGCAGGTTTGTGATACAAGGTTACGCTGAAAAGAATGCATTTCCCATGAAATCATTTGCAGCCAAAGTGTGTATCCAATATTCATCTTAATTTCACCTAGAAATACCCTGGTTTAAAAGCGGCTCCCTAATTAGGCGTCCGCCTAAACCCCCTTAGGGAAGACTGTGTCGGGTCCTCGGTCAGTGACTGTGGACCCGACACCAGGAGGGGCCTGGCGGCATACTGCCCTCCTGTCTGCGCGGCCAGCCATCACAGACACTGATCTGGAGCTCCGCAGAGCTGCAGTCCATGTGTCTCGCAAGAGCTGGCCAATCAGAGCGTTGGCGCAGGTTACCACAGCAATGCTCTGATGGGTCTTGTGAGATTGGATGTCATGGTCTCTGGACCACCAGGGAATAGAAAAAGGTATGTAGTCGTCCCCCCTCCCTCACACCATCACCCTTTCACACCCACAGTATCACCCCCCACCCCCTCACATATCCTCCCCAGACACACTGTCACCATGCCCCACATTGTCACCCTTCCCTACAAGGTCATCACCCCCCCACACTGTCAGCCTCTTTATGCATCCACACTCACATTAACCACTCCTAATCCTGTTAATCTCACCCCTCCAAACTCACCTGCCCTCACTCTGTCACACTCACCGTCACATTAAACCCCCTTAATCCTGTCACACTCGTCCCTCCTACCATGCCACAATTGCCCTGACACACTTGCCTCCACTCGCCCTGTCACACTCCCTCATCAAACCATGTCATACTCCCTGTCCCTCATTCTCTCTCACATCCCCCCTTGACCATTTACACCCTTTGCCCTGTCATGCTCTCCCTGCCACTGGTACCCCTTTACTCACCTTGTCACAGTCACCAGATGAAGACATTAATCATACACACAGTCAAGAAACATAGCTTTGCCATAAACACAATGAACAAAGGCTACAGGCAGACCCCCATACACACAATACACGTCAAGCAGCTACCCGATACACATGGTGTCCCCGACAAAAACGCAAACTTGCTCACAGAGACATACATTCACACACACATGGGTACTCTCTGTCAGACACACTCTGAGGCACATACACAGGTATACTATGCACCAATGTGTAAATGTGACAGTGTGCATGTATTGCAACAATTTTTTTTAACTTTATTAGTGGGGCCTCAAAGTCTAGAGCTGCCTCTGCCTTGGATTCTTTCTGTTGGTGCATGTCGAAGGCAAAGAAAAATGAACCACAACAAAAACAGAGATTTATGCATAACTTTACATAATTTTCAGATGCAAATTATGTACAAAAACAAGTTACATATGAAAAACAATCTCCATTCATTTAGACATTATATAAAGAGGCATTAAAATAAGCTCAGTATTGCTCCACTTACCTTTTCTTTCAGACAGAGACTGATTGTAACAGTCTTAATACATGTCCATAGAAAATTTCTCAGGACAATTTGGAGTGACCTATAAAAATGCAGGACCTCTGGTTCCTGTGAGAGAGAGTCAAAATGCAACAGATGGGATTACTGGCAGCTCCTAAAAGCTGCAACTTCCCTTAATATTGAGGAACAGGTTTGTCTATTATCCATAGTAGACAGGCTCCAGAGATGTGGGTAGACCTCTTGATTACTCCCACAGTCAGATATTCTTGCACTAGGCACAGTAATTAGTTGAGTCAAAAAGACATATTGTGGCAAATCCAGCAAATTCATGGTAAATGCACTGCTCACCAGTGACTATGTTTAACACTACGAAACTCAAATAGTGAACTCATAATTTGATCTATCTAGAGGCGAATTTGATAATATACACACCTATTAATCACTTCTTTAAATAACAAGACATTACAGTGGATTGCTTTCAGAAATTATACAATAAATTTGGCACATTGTGCTTACAAGATGCAAAATATTTAAATGCATCCCACACGCAAAAAATGGCACTTGTTCAATTAAAAGAGGACTCGTTTTCATGAATATAATGTTAACCATATTGCAAGAAAACCTACAAATCAAATATGATTTCCAATGACTGACAAGGATTAGTGTAAGCAAAGAAGTTGTAATGGCATGCAAACATATACATGCACAAATCTCCATTAGAACCCACTATTTATTGTGGATGCTTAGTGTATTGTGTAGAGCATGGTTATGATTTGTATGTGAGCAAAATAACCAATTCATCAGTTAGTGGGGAAAAAAAAAAGTTAATCTGAACGAAAAGGACATTTGCAATATAACAGATACATTTTACGCACTATGGATTTTTCCATTAGGTTTATATATTCACTGTTATCCAGTTTATGAAACATTCTATTATGAGCTCCAGGTTGTATTAGTACTGAGCAGAAAAAAAACAAAAACAGCACAATATCACCAGTAGAGTGAAACCTTAGAAGGCTTGTAATCTTATTCTTATGCCTACAGATCAACAATGCTGTTTAATAGTCTGCTGCTATTTGAAAAAAACAAAACAAAAACAAGTACAAAAGTGCCAATTCACTTGGATATCCAGATGGTATTTACTACTGTTTAATAGTTCATTTAACGTTGCACAAAACATTTAGTCTCTAGAAACCAGAATATGGTTGTTCAATCAAACTGTATCAGATATTCTGGGTATATCTGGTTGCTGTCAAAAATCACATAAATAAGAGGACTGAAGGGGTTATCCACACAGCTATCATACAGATTGATCAAGCTGCCATCTCTTGAGGGAGGTCGGATGTATTTTGGATCTCCAGTGGCATGATCACCTACAAGTACCCTTGCAAGAAACATAGATTTCTTTGCCCAAGAAGAAATTTGTTGAATGTTCATCCCGTGTGCCTTTAACGTATTCCCATGCTTTCCACCGTTCCTGCAGTACTGACTTGATAATGATGCATACCTTGCAAAATACGTTCCTAGAAAAGAAAGAAGAAGAAAAAAAAAATAGAAATGTTACAAAGGGAAAAATGTGCAAAAAGTCGTAGGTTTACAGTTATAAAAATTATAATTTATTTTTTAATTTTTTAAAATCAACGATATTTACTCAACTGAACAGACACAGATTATGCAGTGTGAATATAAATATAAAAATGACAAAACAATATGGTTAAGTGGACTAAGCCATGGACTCTACACTACCATAACCTATAATGTACTATAACCTATGTGTTTATTATATACACACAAATACATACATACACACAACTTAAAATTTCAAGTCATGTGCCACTGATCAGGCCTTAAAAGTTACTCGACACTGCCTCAGAGTCCATGGCATACAACATGTGAATTTCTATTTGCCAGGGCTAAACTTGCATTTGCCAATGGCTTGGTACTGCTCTGCAAGATCCACAAATTCTTACCTTTTCCATATACTGTACCATGCATCCCATTTACTCTCCAATCAAAGTTGTGTATGCAAATTGCCTCCACAAACTCAGTCCCTGTGCCATGAAACAGCATTTCCTCATTAATATGAGACACACCTTTTTTTTTCTTTAACTGGGCTTTCTTTCTACAAATATAAAATAGAAAAACACATCATCCGCATTGTACAAAAAAAGAATATCTAGGACAGAATTTAATACATAAAAGATTAAATTATTTTTAAAATGATATTTACAAGATAACTCATGCATATTGCTACTTCTGGGAAAGCCATGTTGCACAAAGACATTACCTGTTACTGAAAAATCACTACCAAGAGCATTACATAAAACAACCAACCATGATATGATGTGCCCCCCTGGGCATAAAGGAACACACATGGCCACAGGGCTGAAACAAAGTATGGCCAGGGTGGTGCACCAAACTGGAATGAGAGTTTTCAAAAAGAGATGATGCCTATTTTGAGTATTGGATTTTAAACATGACATTCGGTATAAAATATTGGTGTTTATTGTTCCACTGCTAACTTAATTTGGTTATGTATTGCTACAGTAAATGATTAATGGAAGGGACACAATAAGCACCATAATCTGTATAGGTTATGGCAGAGAATTAAGCAGTGAGAATGCAGAGGTATAATCTAAACACCCAAACTGCTTCATGTACTGAGCCAAATGTACACGTTTTGATCAAAATAAAACGTAAACAACATTTGGAATTTGACTATATGTCTGTTCAACCGTAATCCACCTCTTTCATATTAAGTACACCCACACTTATTATACATCATTTTATTCAGAAGAAACAGAGTTATTATTTAACATCAAATATGAAGCTTTGAAACATAATTTAATATGAATAAAATATAAAAAACTATTGCAAAATTAAGAAATGTTATTTTTTTAGTTCTGCATGACATTTTAACTGTGAATGTCATAATACTGTTTGCTTTTACTGCAATAAAATACACATTTGTATTCAGCGATGTCTCACGTGTAAAACAGTAACCCCTATCTACAGGTTTTTTGGTGTTTTGGGAAGTAACAGTGTTAAATATAGCATGTTACATTTTTCTGTTTTTTCACATTGAAATTTGCCAGTAGCCACTTAGTCACAAACACTGGCCAAAGTTAGCGTTAATATTTGTGCGTGAAAAATGCAATCAAAAATAATTTGAACGCCAATTTTGACCAGTGTTTGTGACTAAGTGGCAACTAAATAAGACTGGACATACCCCATTTGCAATACCTTGGGTTGTCTACTTTTGCAAATAGTATGCCATCATGGGGATAATTCTCATTCCTGGGCTACCATATGGTCACAAAGGCAATGTAACCAATCTGGTGAATTTCAATGTGAAAAAACTAAAAAACACAAGCCTTATATTTGACTCTGTAACATTATATCGTCAGTGTAAGTGCAGTTTGTGTGTAAATGCAAAAAACTGATCACTGTTGTAATACATTTTACTGTTTTGAAACACTAATATTTGTGTTCTGCGAAGTCTCCCGAGTAAAACAGTACCCCCCCCATGTACAGGTTTTATGGTGTCTTGGAAGGTTACAGGGTTAAATATAGTGCTAGAAAATTAAACCCAGAGGGCGCCAAGCAGACTGAGTAACCAGACCTCCCCTGGTGGGGACAGCAACTTTAAGGCATTTCTTTCATCTGGAGTTTGTAAATTCCAAATAGAGTGGGGGTACTACAAACCTACTCTAACAGTGTTGCATTATTATTTGTTATTTTTAATTTTAGATATCCAGCTGTATCCCATTTTTCTGTATATATCTCATATACATATATATTATATATTAATATTAAAATACACTTAGACAGAGTATGTGTATGTATGTATGCGTGTGTGTGTGTGTGTGTGTCACTACCTGTCATTCCAGACAATCCCCCTGCTGGCACTACTATGGACAGCTATTCCGTCCATGTGATTGTGAGGTCCTTGCAAGGAACTCGCGATCACATGGCCCAGGAGGGCCAGATCAGATGCAGGGGGACTCCTTGGGATGCCAGGTAAGCCCCCCCCCATCGCGATCGCCGGTGGACGATCGC